CTGGAGGAATGATGCTGAAAATACAGCTGCGCATCACAGAAATACATTACAGTTTAATGTATATTAAAATAGAAAAACGTTATTTTGCATCATAATAATATTTCACAATATTAATTTTTTTTCCTGTATTTTTGATCAAATAAATGCAGGCTTGATGAGCAGAAGAAACTCCTGTAAAAAACTTTAAAAATCGTTCTGATCCCAAACTTTTGACTGGTTGTGTGTGTGAATGTGTGAGTGTGTGTGTGTGTGTGTGTGTGTGTAAAAGGAGAGAGAAAGAAATATTTTCCCAATTTGAATACATGTAAAATTCAAAGTATAGTAACTAATTTTTTACTAATTATTTTGTTACCATTGCTGTCACCACCGCCGTATTGAGAATATAGCTTATACAAAAACAAAAAAAACAATAAATCAAAAAAACATTATAATATATATATATTTTATATGTAATAACTGTTTAAATAAAATGTAGATGCAGTGCTTTTGCCAAATAAACGTTGCGTAGCTCATATAAGTATTCTCATTATCACAAAATATACCTGCGGTTACACACTAGTGTGTGTTGCTCTGATATGCACAATATTTAATTTGGCTTCATTTGGGATTTTTTTCCATTGGTGGAGAAACTTTTTTGGAAAAATAGCATCTAAAACATAAGTTACTCAGTATTTCCTTCTTGTTGACGGAAGGTCTGTGTTTTATTGTAGAATAGGCAATATTTGGAGCCCGTTTGTACTGAAAGAGTTGATAAATCATGTGTCTAATATGTCTTTCCCTTCCTAGTTTTGGCATGACAGAAAACTACTTTGTCTTCGTTGAGACGCCTGTTAAAATCAACCTGCTGAAGTTCCTGAGCGCCTGGAGTATCCGAGGATCCAACTATATGGACTGCTTTGAATCTGACGAGGAGAAAGGCGTACGTTCCTGTTTCTTTATCACTTGATAATACATGACTTACAGAACCTAAGATATGCTGTGTTCATTTAAACAGACGTGGATACACATTGCGAGGAAGCATCCAGGAGAGTACATTGACTATAAATTCAGAACCGCTGCGATGGGTCTTTTCCATCACATCAACTGCTACGAGGACTCGGGCTTCATTGTTGTTGACCTGTGTGCCTGGAAAGGGTAAATCAAACACAATGGTTTACTTACATTAAAGCAACTCTATTCTATTTTATTTTAATTAAAAAAATTTTGTGAGTGTTACTTTGGAGTCCCCTACAGTTAAGTGAGTGTTACTTTGGAGCCCCCTACAGTTAAGTGAGTGTTACTTTGGAGCCCCCTACAGTTAAGTGAGTGTTACTTTGGAGCCCCCTACAGTTAAGTGAGTGTTACTTTGGAGCCCCCTACAGTTAAGTGAGTGTTACTTTGGAGCCCCCTACAGTTAAGTGAGTGTTACTTTGGAGCCCCCTACAGTTAAGTGAGTGTTACTTTGGAGCCCCCTACAGTTAAGTGAGTGTTACTTTGGAGCCCCCTACAGTTAAGTGAGTGTTACTTTGGAGCCCCCTACAGTTAAGTGAGTGTTTCCAGCATTTAAGAAATATTACTTCATCACTTCAAAAGGTTGACATGTGTGACTATGTGAACATAAATGGAGTAACGGCTCATCCGCACATCGAGAAAGACGGCACGGTCTACAACATCGGAAACTGCATGGGGAAGGGAGCCTCGCTGGCCTACAATATCGTCCGAATCCCACCTAAACAGAAAGGTAAGTGTTCTAAACGAATGCTGGTTAAATGATAACTAATGCTCACTATACTCGTTTGGTTAAAATCTTTCAGACAAATCGGACCCCATTGAGAAATCCAAGGTGGTTGTGCAATTCCCAAGCGCGGAGAGGTTCAAGCCGTCCTATGTGCACAGGTAAGATTAAGGATTATTAGAGTCGTTTTTACAAGAAAACACTATCTGCTGTCTCTTTCTGCTTCAGCGTTTCATGTTTAATTCAATGCATCACTTGCGGTTTCTTTGCCATTATTGGTGAAATTTACAAGCAATGCCTACACTCATTTTATTTTATTTTTTCAGTGTAATAGTGATTCAAAACAATGAAAGTAATGATCGATTCACTGATTGCAAATATGAATTAAAAAAAAAATTTGAATTTTAGAATGTTTGGAATTACATCAAAAGAATCGATTTTGATGTAATTCCAATTTATTAGAGTGAATACTAACAGTTTATTTTATTTATTTATTTTTATTGAAAGTAGATATAACAGAAGACTGTAGAAAAACAAAAGAATTACGCCAGAGACAAACATATGAAGAAACATACAATGTGTTACACAGCAATACTCCCAAGCCTTCTAATACATGCGAGAAGAAAACGTTTGTATGAACAAATAATAACAATAATAACAGTATTAGTAGTGGTAATAATAATATATTATGCAGATCCAGTATGTACACATTGCTATTACTGATGATAATAAAAAGAAAAATATATGTAAAGAAAAAGGAGAGAGAAAGAAATATTTTCCCAATTTGAATACATGTAAAATTCAAAGTATAGTAACTAAGTTTTTACTAATTATTTTGTTACCATTGCTGTCACCACCGCCGTATTGAGAATATAGCTTATACAATAAATTTAAAAAAAAATTATATGTAATAACAGTTTGAATAAAATGTAGTTGCAGTACTTTTGCCAAAGAAACTTTATTGTGTAGCTCATATAAGTAAGTATGGGATAATGGTCATTATCACAAAATATACCTGCGGTTACACACTAGTGTGTGTTGCTCTGATATGCACAACATTTAATTTGGCTTCATTTGGGATTTTTTCCATTGGTGGAGAAAGAATGTTGGAAAAGTTACTCAGTATTTCCTTCTTGTTGACGGAAGGTCTGTGTTTTATTGTAGAATAGGCAATATTTGGAGCCCGTTTGTACTGAAAGAGTTGATAAATCATATGTCTAATATGTCTTTCCCTTCCTAGTTTTGGCATGACAGAAAACTACTTTGTCTTTTTTTCCCATACTATGAAAGTCAATGGGTGACCAGCAACTGAAGGTGAACTATCCCTTTAAAGAATGCGTTTTTTAGGCTGTTTTTGATGATTTGTAGATTTGCAAGCTGAATGTGAAGACTAAGGAGACCTGGGTCTGGCAGGAGCCGGACTCGTACCCTTCAGAACCGCTGTTTGTGCAGCACCCTGATGGAGTGGATGAGGATGACGGTGGGTGACACTAGCCATAAATTAGCCAAATATTTGGTGTCTAGCTTGTATTTTGAGTTACACTTTATTTTGATGTTCCCCAACACACATTCAACTGCCTATGAGTAACTCTGCAACTACATATCAACTAGCAGTATTTAGAGTATTAGTAGACTAGCTACTTAATATCTGTCCTCAACACACATTCAACTGAACATGTCAACTTTGCAATGTCAACTAACCCTAACCTAACAGTCTACTGATACTCTAATGAAAGTTTGTTGACATGCAGCTGCAAAGGTGCTTATAGTAGATTGTCTAATGTAACCTCTGTAATGCTTCACTGCTTAACAGGTGTCTTAATGACAATTGTGGTGTCGCCTGGAGCCCAGAGACCTACATGTTGCCTGATCTTGAATGCTAAGGACCTGTCTGAGATTGCAAGAGCGGAAGTTGACATCATGTCTCCAGTCACCTTCCATGGAATGTATAAGCCATAGAGTGGCTGCTCCTACATGTACACACCATGACACTGTAAACTAATAATAATAAAACTATGGTATTGCACAGTTCCGATGTTCTTCATGCATTTGCAAAAAACAATTTAAATTCGGTCACACTTAATTTTACGGTCCAGTTCTCGCTACTAACAAACTATTGACTATGACATTTGCCTCAATAAACTAAACTAATTTGCTGTTTATTAATAGTAAGGTAGCTGTTAAGTTCAGGTATTGTAGGATTAAGGGATCTAAAATATGGTCATGCAGAATAAGGCATTAATATGTGCTTTATAAGCACCAGTATGCTAGTAATATGCATGCAAATAAGCTACTAGTTAATAGTGAGAATTGGTCCTTAAACTAAAGTTTTACCCACTTATGTTGGTGCTGCATAAGTGGGTTAGAGTATGATCTTAATTCATTTAGAAAAAAAACCCCCAAACAAATCTACTTTATTTAAACTCATTAAATGTCTTGATTAATGCATATGCAGTCTTTCCTGGGTTGATATCCAGCAAAAAAAAATCTCTCTTCAAAATGTCATTGAAGTAAACAGAAATGTTTCAAGCATTCAAGAGTGCATTTCTGTGCAACTTGCTGCTTCACCACCAAGGTATTAGTAGTTGTTAAGTTTAGGTATTGGGTAGGATTAGGGATGTAGAATATGGTCATGCAGAATATGTGCTTTATAAGTACTAATAAATAGCTGATATGTTAATAATAGGCATGCTAATAAGCAACTAGTTAATATTGAGAATTTGTCCATAAAGTGTTACCTTAAATTATTGTGCCACCATTATAGACTTGAAGGAATAGTTCACTCCAAAATGAAAATTTTATGTTAATTTACTCATCCTCAGGCCATCCAAGATGTAGGTGACTTTTTTTCTTCAGTAGAACAGTAAAGAAGATTTTTAGCTGAAACCGTGCTCCTAAACGGCAAGTTCATTCTTTAGAAGAGCTATTTTTTTATCTAGATATTTATAGTCAGCTAGCAACAGTCTGATAACATCTGTTACTGTAATGTTTTCTAGTGTTTGGCAAATCAGTTGTTCCTACTTGAGCACGCTATAACTAGTAGTTAAATCAGAGATTGTTTGGCTAGCTTGCTATAGAGTTTATCACCCTGTCAAAATGATATGCTTCACATATAGGCTAACAGCTTACACCATAAAATAAATCAAGTTCAAGTTTGGTTTCTAAAGCATATTTAAAAACGGCCACAGGCCGAGCAAAATGCTGTACAATAAAAGAATGAGTACACAATGAATGAGCAACAAACAAATTAAAAACATCAAAGAACCAGACAAAACTACATATTAAATGTTCTGAGACAGGATTTGAACTCCTATAGAGTGGAAGCCATTCTAATGTGATTTGGTAGGTTATTATAAAGAGTGGGAGCAGGGGAACTTGCAATAATCCAGCCGAGATGTAAGGAGTTGAGAGGCTCAAGGTCAAGTTGATCACTTGCCCTGGAGTCTAAAGGGCCGAAGACAATAACTTCCGTTTTATCTGTGTTCAAAAAGAGAACATTTTTGGAAAGCCATGATTTGACATCATCAAGACATGCTGATAGGGTAATAAGGGCACACTTATTTTTCCTAGTCACAGGCAAGTACAATTGCATATCATCGGTGTAACAGTGAAAGGAAATACCATGTTTCCTAAAAATAGACCCCAGAGGAAGTAGATCAAGAGAGAAAAGGACAGGTACTAAAACAGAACCCTGAGGCACACCGCAGGTTTAATTGCCTAAAGATGAGATAAAGCTTCCTATTTTGATAGAGCATCTTCTTTAGCTTCCACTCTCTGCACAAACATTTGGATATGCGCCTAATAGCGCACATTTTTAGGATAAACGTTTAAACTAACATTGTGATATGCTTGAAGTGTTTTATATCTATAGATTTTATTTTTGGCAAGTCGTGATGATTTGAGAAACATAACCACTTTGTCATTAAAAACAAAACTGAACTATTTTAATGGCTGCAACAGCAGTTGTGTAATGGGGAAGCGAGAGAGAGAAAAAAGACACTGGCTCCAGTCGGACTTGGGCCAAGAATTCTGATAAGCTGTCGGACAAGGGCCGGGCTAGGGGCTAGGGCCTAGATTTGAGGCCCGTGCAGGGCTATAGTGCACATAGTACAGCAGCACAATAACGTTATGTCAGGGTAATGTCTTTAAACTCCAATCAAGGAAATATCATACCTTATTATGTTGTCTTCTTCTTAAAGAATGTCAGAAGTTGCGCTTTAAACATTTTGCGCGAAAAATTCTGAAAACGTGTGAGCTCGTTAATACTGAGCACTGATTGGCCAATCGCCATTATTTAGTTTATGAATTATTATACGTAGAGAATATTTATATTTAATTTGCACGATAAGTTTTAGGCCTACATAATACACAGAATTATTCATCTAAAGAGGATGGTAAGAGGGGATGGTGGTTTTACAGAGAGGATGCTTTTTGTCATTTTTTCAACAACGGGGATGCCATGTATGCAGGTGGCTTCGATGCATCTCAGGAGATGCAGGCCACTTCTCAAATCTCAAAATGCTTTTATATTATTTACAAACTCACAAACTTAATGCACACTTTAATGTCATTTATACTACTGTAGTGCATATTGTGCAGTTTTACTGTAGCTGTTTTGATAAAATGTTGTTTCTGTATGACTAAATTTAAGGGCAAACTTTTCAGATTAGAGTAAGATCATTTAGCCATGGTAAAGTCTCTGTTTATCACACTGTAATTGGCAAAATTATGGCTTGGACTTCATTTGACAGAACAGTTCTCTGACCTCTGCCTTATGCATAACATTTGATGAAACTGCATGTTTGATGAACTGTGCGGAGGTTAGTAATACTGTAAGCATTTTTAAGTCATAAGTGATTTTTAATATCAAGCATGCAGTGATGTTTCTTCATGTGTTTTGAGGAAAATCATCTTAAGGTGCAGTTGCTTGAGAACAACATACAAATATCTCTGTAAAAGTTTCACGTAACGTAACTAAAATATTAGATCTAAGGTAAAATCTAAGCCAAATAATAAATAAATAATTGGAAGTCTTGTCTTGTTCCACATCTGTCCATTTACTAAAAATTATTTTGTTGATAAATATTACTTATCTGTAAACACATATAAGATACATGTACTGCATTGTAATAATATTTCTTCCAAATGCATTTAGTTAAAATAATCTCAGCATTCATGTTGAATGGACATAACTCCAAAATCCAGCAGAGGAATTTTAAAATGTTACATATTTATTATGCTACATATAAGCAGTTAGCATTTGGTTATAATTGGCATTTGAAAATAAATAAATAAAATAATGGAAACACTACATAACTAAACAACAATTAGAAATGCAACTACAAAAGTGAGTCACATGAAGTTTAGACACTTTGACATTTACAATCGTTTACACTTAGACACTTATTTTTTCCCCATATAACAATGGAAAAGTCATGTGAAAATGCAACCGTGATTTAATGAGAGCGATTAAAGCACAATGGGTGTGAAAACTAACAACTGTGTTGCGGCTTTTCAAAATCCCAGGGGTAAAAGCTTGAGGTGTTTGGATCAGCGCCGAATAACATCTCAGCAACGCTCTGTTGAACAGAATCAGATGAACTTGAGGATACCATTTTACTGAGCTCAGAACAGAAATAGTCCATTTCAGTCAGGTCGGTGTTTTTCAGTACTTTTCCAGCACCATGTGTAGCCTCTTCAACTTGTTGGCTTACGTCAGACACAAATGATCCAACATCCATTGTATTAAAATCAAAAATGTTGTTTTTCATTGGGTCAAGCACTTCAGTGTTGGGAAAGCTCATTTCAGAGGTTCCCCACACCGAACCACAGTGAAATACTTGAGAAGAATCACTAGCATTTGACACTATAGAGCTGGATTCTCGCGAAGCATCAGATCCTTCTCGGATTGGTTCGATGATTTTTTCTTCATTACTGTAAGCATAGCTCTCTTCATTAGATGGGCAAGAACCAAAGGGGTAACAATCACTGAGATGATCACTTAGCACGTCACAGGACACGGATATCGGCTTCTCCTCCAGATTATTTAAATCTGTGTAAAGTGTCCATAAAGTGTTACCTTAAATTATTGTGCCACCATTATAGACTTGAAGGAATAGTTCACTCCAAAATGAAAATTTTATGTTAATTTACTCATCCTCAGGCCATCCAAGATGTAGGTGACTTTTTTTCTTCAGTAGAACAGTAAAGAAGATTTTTAGCTGAAACCGTGCTCCTAAACGGCAAGTTCATTCTTTAGAAGAGCTATTTTTTTATCTAGATATTTATAGTCAGCTAGCAACAGTCTGATAACATCTGTTACTGTAATGTTTTCTAGTGTTTGGCAAATCAGTTGTTCCTACTTGAGCACGCTATAACTAGTAGTTAAATCAGAGATTGTTTGGCTAGCTTGCTATAGAGTTTATCACCCTGTCAAAATGATATGCTTCACATATAGGCTAACAGCTTACACCATAAAATAAATCAAGTTCAAGTTTGGTTTCTAAAGCATATTTAAAAACGGCCACAGGCCGAGCAAAATGCTGTACAATAAAAGAATGAGTACACAATGAATGAACAACAAACAAATTAAAAACATCAAAGAACCAGACAAAACTACATATTAAAAGTTTTGAGACAGGATTTGAACTCCTATAGAGTGGAAGCCATTCTAATGTGATTTGGTAGGTTATTATAAAGAGTTGGAGCAGGGGAACTTGCAATAATCCAGCCGAGATGTAAGGAGTTGAGAGGCTCAAGGTCAAGTTGATCACTTGCCCTGGAGTCTAAAGGGCTGAAGACAATAACTTCCGTTGGTTACACTTTATTTCGATAGTCCACTTTAGACATCCATGATTTGACATCATCAAGACATGCTGATAGGGTAATAAGGGCACACTTATTTTTCCTAGTCACAGGCAAGTACAATTGCATATCATCGGTGTAACAGTGAAAGGAAATACCATGTTTCCTAAAAATAGACCCCAGAGGAAGTAGATCAAGAGAGAAAAGGACAGGTACTAAAAC